CAGGTCCTCTGTCCAGTTTTAATTGGATTGTTTGGGTGTTTTGGTGTTGAGTTGTAGAAGATGCTAACCCTTTATCAGTATATCATTTGCAGGTACCTTCTTCCATTCATTATGTTGCCTTTTCATTTTGTTGATGGTTTCCTTTGCTGTGCAGAGCTTTTTATTTTGGTGTACTCCCATCTTATGGCCCACAAAGCCTAAAGTAATTACTGTCTGGCCCTTTACAGAACAAGTTTGTTGACCTCTGTTTCAGATGAGATCTGTTCTTTCATAAATGAATATTTCATGTTTTAAAGGAATTTAAGAAGTCTCATAGGTTATACATAATTGTTTGTTGGCTATCTAAACCTTTGTATTACATTTTATTCTACTGTCTAGTTTTTGAACATCTTTCTTATTGGCACATTTAGTCTGCCAGATACCTAAAAGCTTATTACATGCTAAGCACTTTGGATACAGTGTGCAACTGAAGGGCCCCAGCCCTCACAGGGTTCACACATTGAACTTTTTTTCTTATTTTTTAAAGGTCTGTGTGCTGGTATGGTGGAAAAGGGAGACTCCTACAAGTGAAAAAGAGGAAGGTTATTGCTGAGGGATAGAAAGCATTGCATTAAATAAATTACTCCTAGAAGTCATTGACTCCCTGCCATTAATTCTTCCTATAGTCAGAGCCTAGAGATCAACATGTAGAAACTCTCTCGAAATAACTCTTCCATCTCCTTGGCACGATATACTCGTGTTTGATTGCATTTTCTTGTCAGCAGTAGTGCTGTCTGGCTAGGCACATAGTCAAAGTATGAAGTATATAGTGATTCACATCTTAGATTGATCTTTTTCTGTAGTCGCTGTTCAAAGAATATAGTTCTTTTTGTTAACCTTTCTCTTGAATTGATCTGTAACATTGTTAAATACTAATTGTCTTTAACTTTGGGGTGCGAGTGGGATATGTGATTTGATTAAAAGGGCACATGACTCTGAGCTTAAATGTAAGACCTGGATTTCAATTTTAATGGAGCAACTATACTCATTAACGGCTGCTAGTCAGACTTTTAATCTAATAATTTGGGGAATGTTGTCTACTTACAAGGTTGCTGGGAAAATTCAATGAAATAACATTAGGCTCAGAACTAAAGTTACTAAGCATTTAATAATGGTACATTGTTAAATACATCAAGGGCAAAATTAGATGTTTACCTGATGTTACGAGGCTGCATCCTCAAATTATTCTGTAAAATATATTATTTAAAATAAGTCCACAAAACTTGGCGCATTACATTGTGATGCAGTTGTTTCTTAGAATAGTACCACTTTAGTAGAACAAGAAATGAATGAAAATCTCTATGAAATTACTAAAAAATAGGAAAACTATTGATATAATTAAATAAAATGTTATTTGTCTAAGTATTTAAAAACTGCAGTGAGTTTGATCTCCTTGCTTTTGGAAAACATTATTATCCAAAGAATATGTCCTTTTTTTTTTTTTTTTAAAGCAATTTGTTCTTGCCTTGAGGTCCTAAATGGTTGCTGAGAAGTTACCATCTTTCCTTTGCAGAAAGTCTATTTTATGGGCCACTTAGCTTTTATGCTTAGAAACATTTCCTTAATGCTGTGTATCACTGGTTAACACACATAGGGGCTAAATGATTTATTTTCTTGGAGACATATAATTATTTTAAAGCTTATTTATTTTGAAAGAGAGAGAGTACGTTGTGCACGCACGTGCACGGGAGCAGAGGAGGGACAGAGAGAGAGGGAGGGAGGGAGGGAGAGCCTGATTCAGGGCTCCATCTCACAAAATCCATGAGCTGAAATAGGACGCTCAACCGACTGAGTCACCCAGGCACTGTGGAAAAGTATCATTTCTAATACTAATGTATTTAAAAAAATTTTTTTAATGTTTATTTTTGAGAGAGAGACAGTATGAGCCGGGGAAGACAGAGAGAGAGACAGAATCTGAAGCAGGCTCCAGGCTCTGAGCCCATGCGGGACTCAAACTCACAAGCTGTGAGATCATGACCTATGTGGAAGTCAGATGCTTAACTGACTGAGCTGCCCAGGTGCCCCAGATACGAATGTATTTTTTACATGCATTTAATTCTGGGAATGTATGCAAAAATGTCGTAAAATGTGCAAATGCTTTGCATATTAGATATGTGGGGGTTTTTTTCTGTGTCTTTCTTCATTCATTTTAAAGGCTACATAGTTATCCACTACTGCATCTCACCTGGATGATTTACCACTTACAGTAGCTTCCTTATTGGTGTCCCTGCTTTTCTTTGGCCCCTCACCATCTTTTTTTCCATACACACACTTAGAATGAACTCTGAAAAGACTACATCATAGTACATGTGTACCTCTAGTGGCTTCCTAGTGCACTTTGGATTTTATTTTATATCCTTGTTGATCTGGTCCTTTCTCTTTTCATAGTTCCTGATTTCTTGTTACACTGGTGACTTTTTAGTACCTTTACCAAACAGCTCATACCTTCCTTTCCACTTTTTTTCTGCATGAAGTGTTCTGCCCCATCTTAAGCTGGCTGGTTCCTCCTCCTCTGCTCAAATGTTCCTGTCATCCCATGCTTACCTAGAATAGCCCTTCTCCACCATTCACTCTCTTCTCACCTTGTTTATTTCTTTCACAGAAGTTCTCTTTAAATTGTTTTGTTTTTATTGCTTAACTTTCTAGTAGCAGAATCCAGGCTTTACTGGATGTACGAGCTTGAGTCTCAGACTCTGGTATTCACTCTTTTTTTTTTTTTTTCAACGTTTTTTATTTATTTTTGGGACAGAGAGAGGCAGAGCATGAACGGGGGAGGGGCAGAGAGAGGGAGACACCGAATCGGAAACAGGCTCCAGGCTCCGAGCCATCAGCCCAGAGCCTGACGCGGGGCTCGAACTCACGGACCGCGAGATCGTGACCTGGCTGAAGTCGGACGCTTAACCGACTGCGCCACCCAGGCGCCCCTCTGATATTCACTCTTACTGCAATGCCAGTAACATGAAAGGTGTTACATGTTTGTTCGGCAAGTGGATAAATTATTGTTCATTCATTGCCTTGTTGATGAGCATTTGGGTAATTTCCAGTTTTTTTCTATGAATGCTTCATTGTGCAGACCTCTTGGCATTCTTCTGTGAATATTGCTACAAATTATGTTTCTATTATAAAAATGGAATTTTAAAGTCAGAGGTTATTTACACATATTTAATGGGTAGTGCCAACCTACCCTCCAAAAAGTTTCTGGTAGTTGAACTACAGTTGATTCTAGAATAATGTGGGGATTAGGGGCACCGGTTCCCATGTAGTCCCAAGTCTGCATAAAACTTTGACTCCTCCAAAACTTAATGGCTAGTAGCCTACTGTTGATAGAGAAAAAAGCCTTAGCAATAGCATAAACAGGATTAAAACATTTTTTTGTGTGTGTTGTATGTATTAAGTACTGTATCCTTACCATAAAGTAAGCTAGAGAAAAGAAAATGTTAAAATCATAAGGGAAAATACATTTATTATAGTACTGTACTATAAAAAAACAAAAACAAATGTATACAAGAAACAAGTGTTGACCAGGATGTGGAGAAAAAGGAACCCTCTTACACTGTTGGTGGGAATGCAAATTGGTGCAGCCACTGTGGGAAACAGTATGGAGGTTTCTCAAAAAATTTGAAGTAGAATTACCCTGTGATCCAGTAATTCCACTACTGGATCTGTACCCAAAGAATACAGAAACACTAATTTGAAAAGATACATGCACCCTTATGTTTATTGCAGCATTATTTACAATACCTAAAGTATGGAAGCAGCCTAAGTGTCCATCGATAGATGAAGGATAAAGAAGATATAGTGGGTTGTGCATATGTATCTATACCTATACCTATACATCTATATTTATGTCAGATCCATAAGGATATAGAATAAAATCCAAAGTGCACTAGGAAGCCACTATAGGTGCGTGTACTATGATTTAGCCTTTTCAGAGTTCACTCTAGTGTGTGTTTGGAAAAAAAAAAGATGGTGAGGGGGCCAAAAGTATACACATACATACACACACACACACACACACACACACACACACACACAGTGGAATATTATTTAACCATAACAAGGAATGAAGTCTTGCCATTTGCAACAACATGAACAGAGCCAGACAGCATGATGTTAAGTAAAATAAATCTGTCGAAGACAAGTAACATATGATTCCACTCATACGGAATTTAAAAAGCCAAACATGAGCAAAGGAAAAAAGAGAGGCAAAACAAGAAACACTCTTAACTGAGAACAAACTGAGGGTTGAATGGGAGGTGGGGGAGAGGAGAAAGTGGGTGATGGGCATTGAGGAGGGCACTTGTTGGGATCAGCACTGGGTGTTGTATGGAAACCAATTTGACAATAAATTATATTAAAAAAAGAAAAACAGACTCAACTATAAAGAACAAACTGATGGTTACCAAAGGGAGGTGCGTGCATGGGGTTGAAATTGGGGATGGGGATTAAAGAGTATACTTAATCATGATGAAAAAAAAAATCACGTAAAGTGCAGCCACGCATTTCGAACCCTTGTTCCAGGGTCAACTGTATCGTCTTAGCAGTCGATATTACTAATCTTTTAAATCTGCTGGGCTGATATGCAAAAAATGAATGAGTTTAAATTCTTTTGTGTGTATTTATTGCTTACTTTGTATTTTTCCTTTGAAATGATGGTTTCTGCCCTTTCCCTGATTTTTTTTTATTGATTTGTCTTTAGTTCTCTGTGTACCAAGGATATTAGCCTTAACTAAGAGAAAACCAACAATATCTTTATATAGTACAAAACGATTTTCCAGCCAAGAAAAAAATAATTACATTTAATTTTGTATGTACTTTGTTTTTATTGTTGCTTTTATGCATGAGATCTTTTTGTGATTATGATTTTCTAACCTATTTGTACATAGGAAAGTAGTTTGTACATAATGGTCACTTTTTTTTAACAATTTAGTTTAACCGTGAACTGTTTTCTGTGCAGTATTATCACTGTGTAACTTAAAAGAGTTGTAAAAGCGTCTCTAGAATGTTAGTTAACAAAGAATGTCCTCAGTTTAAAAGGATTTCGTTAATCATCATTTTATGAACTTAAGAGGAACAGGATTTTCAGTTTCAAGATGTAGTGGAAACAGATCCTCCCACATACCTGCAGTCTCTAGCCTTCTAAAATAGATTTGTAGCCTATTGAGCTACTGTGACTGCTGCCTCTTCAAGGAGACGGGAGTATTTTATCCTCACTTTTGGTACTTGAATTGTAAGGTTTAGCTGGTTTGACAGAAGTGTACATGAAACATTTGTGTCTTTTATGGATAGTTCCATTTTAATTGTTTGAAAAGGTACAAAGATTTTCTTATATTTTAAAATCATATTTGGGGTTTAAATTACTTTACCTGAGATGCTGATGTAGAACTATTTCCTTATTTTATTTTCAATTATTCTTGCTACGCGCAGTATAGAGAATAATGTAACAAACAGCCATGCACTCATGGGTGGCCTAGATATTAAGAGGTGTATGTAATTTTGCCGTATTTATTTTATCTTAAAAAAATGCAAAAGAGTTGAAGCCATCTTTAATACCCTTCTTTCTTGATTCCCTTTGTGCCCAGGTATTTAGAAGCTGGCATGTAATCTTTGTACTTTTACCACATAAACAGTATTAAACATTTCGTTTAACTTAGCTGGCATAAAGTTATATTTGGAAATTATAAAAATGTGCCTGTGTAGATAGATAAAGACTGTTTATTGTGTACTTTGAAATAACTGTGTTTTAAAATATCAGTGTTTTCAGTTGCTTAGAGTACTGTAGGCTGAAGAAAATTCATCTGCTTTTTGTAGTGACTTGATCTTAGAGTGAATAAAGTAAAAGTTTGTTTTAAAACATTCTCTTTTTTTTTTTCTGGAGTATCAAGACTATTTTAGGATTATGTTATTGACCAGAGATTATGTATGAAGGTACTCATTGGTGACGGTAAGGATATATCATAAGTGTAAAGGATATTACCATTATCACATTATTTTAAGTAGTGAAATCATATTCTCAGACACACATGATAGGCCTAAATATGCTGCTGTATCAGTGATTATTCAAGGAACTTCTTATATATAACATATACATGTTCCCTATGAAAATATAAAAGGACTACCTCTAGAATCTGGCAAGGGGCACATGAGTGGCTCAGTTGACTGAGCATCTGACTCTTGATTTTGGTTCAGGTCATAGTCTTGTGGTTTGTGAGTTTGAGCCCTGCATTGGACTCTGTGCTGACAGTGTGGAGCATGCTTGGGATTCTCTCTCTCTCTCTCTCTCTCTCTCTCTCTCTCTCTCTCTCTCAAAATTAAAAAAATTTTTTTAAAGAATCTGGCAAGCCAAGAAGGCTGTACACGTGGCAAAAAAAGGTTTTTTTGAGTATTTAATCTCAGAATTTAGAGAAAGTTACAGGGTGGGGTAATGTGTATATTACATGGGAGAACATAGCTGCTACAGGATGTCCTGAGGTAACAGTTGATGCTGCTCCACCTCGGTAGGCTGGCCTCTCATACGGGACCTTCTCTGAAAATTGTATCAGTTTATGCTCCATCAGTCTTTTGGAGCTGTGTATCAGAGGCCCTATAAGTTTTTACCCTTTTAGCAGTCCTCATGTGGAAGGGAAGTGGAAGAAGCTAAAGAGAATTATTTATATGCAAACGTGTTTGTTCAGCATTGTTTGAGTAGCAAACTAAATGGGGGAGGACAAACTAAATATTCAAGAATGGGAGATTTGGCTAATTATAGTACAGATATATGATACAAATGAAAACACTTTTAGGCATCTACAATAAGGAATAAGGAGTTGATTTATATATATACATGCATATATATACATATATAGTGTCTACAGTAAGGAATAAGAAATTGATTTATATGTGTGTGTGTGTATACCTTTTTTAAGTTTATTTCTGGGGGGCAGGAGGAAGGGGAAGAGAGGGAGAGAGAATCTCATACAGATTCTGCTCTGTCAACACAGAGCCCGATGCGTGGGGCTCGATCCCATGAACCGTGAGACAATGACCTGAGCTGAAATCAAGAATCAGACGCTTAACTGACTGAGCCACCCACACGTTTCTGATATTTATATTTTTATAATAAAAGCATACTTAATAGTAAATTTAATAAAATACCGAATATACCAAAATGTCATTAATTGTGGGAATGACAAAGAAAAATATTTTACACTAAGCATATATTACTTTATAGGTAGGGTAGAAGATAGAGAAGACCATAAAATGAAGGAAGGAAAGCGATCATTTGGGAAGTGTCCTAATTTTTCCCAGTTCATATTTCTTCCAATAGCCATTTTACACCTATGTATTTAAAGTAATAGCAAGGGCATCAATATTAGGAATTTTGGAGGAGCAAAAGTGTCACTAGATATTTATATTCTATTGACCAGTGTAGGGAAGACTCCTCTCAGAATATACACAGACACAGCTGAGGAGTAAAAGTAGAAAAGTAACTAGACTGAGTTGTGACTTAAAACTGTTAGTGATAAGGGGCGCCTGGGTGGCTCAGTGGGTTAAGTGTCCAACTTCAGCTCTGGTCATGATCTCAACCGCTTGTGGGTTCAAGCCCTGAGCCGGGCTGTGTGCTGACAGCTCAGAGCCTGGAACCTGCTTCAGATTCTGTGTCTCCCTCTCTCTGCCCCTCCCCTGCTCACACTCTCTTTCTGTCAAAAATAAATAAATGTTAAAAAAAAAAAAAATTAGTGATAAATGAAAAGTGCCTAAACAGAAGATTTGAGGAGAGTATAAATTTTGTGAATGGCAAGATATTAGTAGTGACAAGAAAAATGCGTATGTATGTGCTTTTAGATTTACAAAACAAATTTTACTTAGAAATGTTTTTAATCCTTGAGGATTTTTTTTATAAGTTTATCATGCTCCTGAAATAGAGTTGGGTTTTCTTACTTTAAAACAGAGTAAGTGATTGGTTTTTGTTCTTTTAGTACAGGTTATTGGAAAGTGAATTGTTAGCATGAATGGCCAGTATAAAACTGGTTTTATAATAGATCTGCTTTATTTTTATATAGCAAAGTTACTCCTAGTTAGTAATACTCAAATTTTACGAAATCTAGGGTAATTAAGATAATTTGTCCTAATAGGAACTGGAGAAGTAAACTTCAGCGTGAGACCTCTATCATGTCAAGAATTCTCACATCGACTTTGACAGAAGGCCATTTAAAGTACACAGGGTGAAGTAGAGGCTCCAATTCACTCATTGTGAACTGGATGGAGTAGCAGCCAGTAAGGCTGATCTTCTATAGTAATGTTTTGGTATGCAAGAAAATATCCTTACTTTTCATAGCCACCTGATGAACTACTACTAGTAATAATAATGTATATAGTTTACTTTAAAATTATTCTGTGGTTGGGCACAAATACTACCTGATGTTAACAGTTGTTAAGTATAGGTAATGTGGGTGTTCATTATACAGTTGTGTCTACTTTCCTGCATATTTGAAAATTTTCCTAATAAGAAAAAAGAAAAACCTAGAATGCTTAAGTAGTCCTATTAAAAAAGTTGAAGGAAAAATTACTCATAGTAACACTTTGGATAAGATACGGATCAGAATGAACTTTTCACCTAGATAGAAATTATTGTATATAAAGAGTGTATATTTTTTTCTAAGTCTTTACAGATTTTAAATCAGAAGTAGCAAGATAAATTTTGAGGTGTTCTTTACAAATTATATAACTGGAAAGAATATATGTTTAACAAAAAGAAAAAATAAAAGGGTGCATGCGTCCATTACCTCACTAAACTGGATAAATTGGCGATCCTGGCAACCCTCTTTCTTTGTCAAAGTACCACTTGGTGGGGATGAAGCTGGCAGGACACAGAGCATCCTAATGTATTCTGTAGTTTGTGATCACTGCATTTGGGAACTTCTAGTACTTCATAACTTGTTAGCATTATCCTCCCTTTATCTTGAGTTGGTATTAATGGGCTTTTCCCCATTTTTGTTTCTCCTAATTCTTTTTGAAATGCCTATTAGTTGGCGCTCTGATCCCCTAGATGATCATCTTGTTTCTTCTATTTTGTATCTTGAATATCTTTCTCCTGTATGTTCTAGGAGTTTTTCTCAACTTTGGTTATCTAGTGAGCTTTTAATTTATTATCTCCAATCTTTATGAGGGTAGTAAATTGAAACATTCTGTTTCCTTCCCCCCACTCTTACCCTTATTTTAAAATCCTTTGTTTCTCTGGAGTCCGCGTTTTTTCTGTTACTTCTTTCTTGAACTTTTTCCTTTGCTCTTGAAGGCTTTTCAGATGTGTTTGGTAAGCTTTGGTTGATTGGGAGCTTTAGGATTGGACCCCTAATGATTGACAGGGTGTAGTGGAAGGAGCCAATCCTTGGGCTGAAAGTTCTGTCCAGAAGAAGAATGAGGAAGGCTTTCCTTTTGGGCAGGACTCTGGCCTAGATTTCTTTGGACAGTATATTCAGTTTCTTTAGTGAATAGTTTTCATAGTTTTGGTAAATTTGGATTCATCTGCAGTGTAATGTAGGAGGTAAGTTGATATATACTGTTGCTTATGTAGATCCCCATTTTCATTCCTATTTTTTACTTCTCAACCTGCTGGATTGATACTTGGCCTCCTTTATGACGTAGGATTGTAGACTCACTGTTATGTATGCTGCATAAATTTTAAAGTATATAAAAATAATAGTATTGAGGAATCCTCAACATACAAATAGATATTGTAAGTTTGGAGTATGAACTTGCTTTTTCCATAAAATCATCATAAATTGTGGTCAAACTACAGGTCATCCCATATAAACAGATTTTACACAATAACATGGCTAAATATTTTGCCTTTGCATCAACAACAAGGAAACAATACTGTAAATATTTTTTTCCTTGAAGCCATGTACACTTGAACGTTGAACAACACTGACCCCCTACACAGTCAAAAATCTGTGAATAACTTTTGACTTGCCAAAAACTTAACTACTGGTAGTAGCTTTTTGTTGGACCAGAAGCCTTACCAGTAACTATACAGCTGATTTACACATATTTTGTATGTGTATTATAGTGACTAGTTGGTTTCTGAGCCCTGTGGCATTGGCCAAAGGAAGAGCCCAATGTAGAACTTGTTTTAAGTTGCCTTTCTCGGAAATAAACTGGAAGCTGGAGTGGAGAACTCAGTTTCCAGAGAGGTGGAAAAATGTAAGCTAAAACACAGCATCAGTGAACAGAAACCTTGGGTATTTCTCAGTGTGGTCTGTAGATCGCTTGTGCATCCTAGAATATTCATTAAAAATTCAGGTTTCTATGCCCCACTCTAGTCCTATTGAATCAAAACATTGAACACACATAATCCTGCTTAGTATCTTAAAAGATTCGTATTGACAGGAATCACCTTCATTTTCTGTCCTTCATTTTGCCTTGTACAAAGATTGTCAGTTGTTTCTACCGTGGAACTAACACAGTTGTATCCACAGCTCTTGTCATCTTTACGTGTCAAGTGACCTTTGTGGTTATAAAAATCTAGTACTGGAAGAGCAATTTTAGGAATAATTAACACATGCTTCCTTTACATAGAGCAAATAGGACTTTAGACTGTAGTTTCCAACTTTCATTAAACATATTTAAACTCTGTTTTACGGTGATAGAATACACAGTTCACACGTAAATATTTTAGTCCATGTCTTCACGTGTTGGTAAACCATTATGTTAATTTGTAGTGCAAGATAAACTTGTTTAGGGGAATACTGTGTAGTAAAGGAAGTTTTGTTATTAGGAATATCTAGTGGCCATGAGCCTTCAAACGGTTCTCATTTGCAATTAGTTTCCTATGTGATTCCTAGTGTTTTCCTGAATGTTACACAGTAAAGCCAAAATGCAAAGATGCTAAGATTTTTATGTATATGTTTTTTTCATACTGATAAAACATTACTCCAGTGAGTAATACTTCTGTTTATAATACATCATTGCTATAAATTTGAACTAGAAAAAATTTACTAAAAAGATTCTTTTTGTGTTGCAAACTTTCATTTGAAAAGTAATTTTACTTCTTAGTAAAAGATCTAAAATCCAGTGTTCTGATCCATTTGCTTTATAAAGGTATTTTATATGGCATTGTATTGTATCAGTAAAGAAAAACCATTTAATGAAAATATGGTCTTTTTTAAAACCACTGTCCAAAAAGATCTATGAGTTTTTCAGTGAAAGAAGTTAAAAAGGGAGAACGCTTTTGGGAACTCAAGGAGGAATTGATTTTGAATACTTTTTTTTCCCCACCTTGGCTTTCACTATAAATTTTCTTCATCTGCATCAATAATTGTGCTTTTTGACATCCTGAATAACTATAATTTGTATTCCTACTTAAAAAGAGGTGCTTGTTAAAGAGGAGTTTTTACTTGGAGTTTTCACCAATGATGGAGCTGTGGTTGAGGTATATAGAGGAGACTGTGGGGTTTGGGTTTCACGATCACATGGTAAAAGGGATTGCGGCTATTTATGGATGTGGTCCGTAGTATTTATCAGCCCATCGTAGTGGCTTAAAGATACTAAAAACAAGCAAATTTTAAATCCTAATGACTTGATTAACTCTTTTAGGGTATCTGAAGCACACCATACACCGGTTTTGAAAATCCTGTGTGGGCAATGGCTACCCAAGGTTTGTATCACAAGTCTTTAGTTACTGAATTGGGGCTCTGCTTCATTGCCATTAACCCAGTCTGGCTCAGATCCCCCTGCTTTACTCTCTCCCTGCTTACTTGTCAGGCTACCTTTTGCTCCATTTTCTGCTCACTCCTCCTAATGGCTTGGTGAAATAGCAAACAAGCCACCAGCAGGAATCTAGTCTGGATGACTGCTTCTGGAGCCTGGATGCAGTACCATTCTTCCACTAATTCAGTGAGTAACTGTTAGGTGGTTCCCTAAGAGTGTAGATATTTCCTCACTGAGCTAATCCTGGCTATCATTGTTATTCTTGGCTGTCTTCCACATGTGACTATTTCTAACAGTATTTCAGTGGGTCGTATCCCAGATTTTTTAATGAAGATAACATTTCCTTGGCAGTAATGCGAATGCTGTTGGATTTTTCTAGCTGATCTGATGGAACTGGACATGGCCATGGAGCCAGACAGAAAAGCAGCTGTCAGTCACTGGCAGCAACAGTCTTACCTGGACTCTGGAATCCATTCTGGCGCCACCACCACGGCCCCTTCTCTGAGTGGTAAAGGCAATCCTGAGGAAGAGGATGTGGATACCACCCAAGTCCTGTACGAGTGGGAACAGGGGTTTTCTCAGTCCTTCACTCAAGAACAAGTGGCTGGTAAGGGTGATAAATGACTGCCTTACTGAAAGTCAGAATGCAGTTTTGAGAATTCTTCTTACAGAAGTTGGTGTGTAACAGTTTAAGTGGTGTCAAGAAAGGGGGGCGGTGGCAGTGTTACCTTCAGGTAACATTTCGGTAATACGTTTGGTGTAGCACGTGTTCAGCACAATGCTGAATTGGGAATAACGGGTGTTGAATTTATCTTTTCCAGATATTGATGGTCAGTATGCGATGACGCGAGCTCAGAGAGTGCGAGCTGCTATGTTCCCTGAGACTTTAGACGAGGGCATGCAGATCCCATCCACACAGTTCGATGCTGCTCACCCTACTAACGTCCAGCGTTTGGCTGAACCATCACAGATGCTGAAACACGCAGTTGTAAATTTGATTAACTATCAAGATGATGCAGAACTTGCCACACGTGCAATCCCCGAACTGACAAAACTGCTAAACGATGAGGACCAGGTCAGTAATGACGAGGCTGGCTCGCGATCTGCTTTGAAGGAAACTCTCCAGGAAGGAGCCTCAAAATAGCCATCCAGTATCAGTATTGAAAACCAATGATGTCTCTTAATTCCCGTACGTTATAGGTGGTGGTTAATAAGGCTGCAGTTATGGTCCATCAGCTTTCGAAAAAGGAAGCTTCCAGACACGCCATCATGCGTTCTCCTCAGATGGTGTCTGCCATCGTACGCACCATGCAGAATACGAACGACGTGGAGACAGCTCGCTGTACTGCTGGCACCTTGCACAATCTTTCTCATCATCGTGAGGGCTTGCTGGCCATCTTTAAGTCTGGGGGCATTCCCGCCCTGGTGAAGATGCTTGGGTAAGAAAACATGGTCAGAAGGCTCACAGCTAAGAAGGAGAAGAGTGTCATCACTGCATTTCTGATGTGGCTTTTTTCTTCCCAGGTCACCAGTGGATTCTGTATTATTTTATGCCATTACAACTCTCCACAACCTTTTATTGCATCAAGAAGGAGCTAAAATGGCAGTGCGTTTAGCTGGTGGGCTGCAGAAAATGGTTGCCTTGCTCAACAAAACAAATGTTAAATTCTTGGCTATTACGACAGACTGCCTTCAGATTTTAGCTTACGGCAACCAAGAAAGCAAGGTAAAAGAATTTTTCTGAATGTGGTTGTCATGGAGCATTGGGAACCCCAATGTCAGTCCTTCTGTGGACTCTAGCAAATTCTTTGTATGCCTCACCCTTTGTGTGTATCTTTAAAAAAAAGTTGGACATCTCTTTTTCTTTTTTTTTTCTTTTTTTTTAAAAATTTTTTTTTTCAACGTTTTTATTTATTTTTGGGACAGAGAGAGACAGAGCATGAACGGGGGAGGGTCAGAGAGAGAGGGAGACACAGAATCGGAAACAGGCTCCAGGCTCTGAGCCATCAGCCCAGAGCCTGACGCGGGGCTCGAACTCACGGACCGCGAGATCGTAACCTGGCTGAAGTCGGACGCTTAACCGACTGCGCCACCCAGGCGCCCCTCTTTTTCTATAAACGTTTGTATGTATCAAGCTAGGTGTTGGGGATATAGTGGGCAAACTCCTCTCAGAACTTCCATTCTTAGGTGGGAGATAGGCACTGACATGATATAATTACTATTTAACTCGTGAGTTTGGAGGAAGTAAAGGAGCAATGAGAGCATATAAGTGAACCAAACCCTGTTTTGAAAGTTCAGGGAGACCTGTTGGAGGAAGCGATAAGTTGTGTTCAGGTCTTAAGGGTGAGGAGAGATCGACTAGGTGAAGATTAGAGGAAATGGCACCTTTGAAAGCCCTACAGAGGGAGAAGAGTGATGAGTTTTGGAAATTCAAGAGATACAAAGAGTAAAGAAGGGGCACCCAAGTGGCTCAGTTGGTTAAGCGTCTGACTCTAGGTTTCGTCTCAGGTCATGATCTCCTAGTTCGTGAGATTGAGCCCTGAGTTGGGCTCTGTGCTGACAGCGCGGGGCCTGCTTGGGATTCTCTCTCACTCTGCCCATTTCCCACTTGAATGTGCTCGCTCTCTTCTCTGTCCCTTAAAATAAATAAACTTAGAAACAATAGTAAAGAAGAGGAAAGGTTTGAGTTGAGATTATTGAGCTCAGCAGGGCAGGTCCTGCAGGACCTTGTAGAATATGTTAAAAGAGTAATGACTAAATGCAGTCAGTTTTAGCAAGGTATGAGCAGATGAGATTTGTGTTTAGAAAATCAGGATAGTTTGGAGGTGGGAATATGGAGGGAAGTAAAGGGCAAGAAGGAATGATTTTTTGATGATACCTCATTTTAAGGTGAAAACAGCCAAGAGCCAAAGGATTAGGAGTTTTAAGTGCCCATTCTGGTTCACATTTTTAACAACTCCGCTTTGATACAACAATAATATCTGGGCATTACTGTTGCACACCAGCGTGGTTTCTGTTGTTTTGTTTTGTTCTGATCAGTGTGGGAGGAAGAAAATTGGGGCAGAGTTGATCTATTCTTGGGAGTATTGGGATACCTGAATTTGAGTGGAATCTTGTAGAAGGAGGGGGTAAATGGGGCCCCAGTGTGGGAATCTGGATAATGGGGTCTGGGAATACATTTAGATCAGTGGCAAGCTGGCTGACATGCTTGTATAATAAAAATAGGTTGGTTGTTTTCTTGGGCATATGATGACAATTTTGTGATTAACAGTATATACGTGTCTTTCTAGCTGATCATTCTGGCTAGTGGTGGACCTCAAGCTTTAGTAAATATAATGAGGACCTACACTTACGAGAAACTACTGTGGACCACAAGCAGAGTACTGAAGGTGCTGTCTGTCTGCTCTAGTAATAAACCAGCTATTGTAGAAGCCGGTAAGTATTCTCAGTCTCGTGTGCAACATCTGGCAGTTCTAATTTGATTACTTGTTTTAGGAAAAGGGTAATACAACTTGACCTTAATGGGCTGAAACTAGACGGTTCTATTCAGTCTGCAGCCAAGACCGCATTTAAAGTGTATGTGTTGCTTAACACCTGCACTGGTGCTGTTTAAGCCTAGGCCAGTTTAGGCAGAGTTGTTATTACCCATCAAAAATGATGGCTAATACTTGGTAGTTTCTGTTGTGCGTGTTGGTAGCAAAGGAGACGAATTGGTGGACCAGCCACAGCCTTTTGTTTTTTTATCATGAGGATACAGTTACTCTGCAACTACCCAGCATCAGTTCTTTCTGTAACACACTTAGCAATATCTACCTGGACTCTGAAACCAAGTTTCATATCAAAACTGGAAGGGGAAAAATATGAAAGCATTTAATAGAAGAAAATACCTGGAATGAAGTGTAGGGTTAGTAACACCTCTTTTACTTGTTGAGAGTAGTTTTATTTGAGAATTTGTGGGAGAAAGGGGCATTATGGTTGCCCAGGATAGCTGGCTGGCACTGAGACAGACAGGTGTGGCTGGATTCATCTAGAATAAGGGGATGAAATTCTGGCCCAGCCGTTCCAGAAATATGAGTACTTGAGGAAAATGCAGTTTTGGACTTAATCAGAATCCTTGGAGTGGAATGACAAGGTCATTATTTTAAAAAGTTAGCCAGGTTATTCTGATGTTCACTTGTGCGTTCTGAAAACATTCAGCACCTATGTCTTAAGCACTGGAATAAGCACGTGGTATATACTGGATAACTAAGCAGATATGGTCCCTATGTTTATTCTTCCATTCTGTTGAGGGTGACAAAAATATGCAAAAAATGGGGGCATTAGCAGCTTAGAACGAGTATCAGAGAAGAAAGGAACAGTAAGTAGTGATCAGAATTAAAGGGGAGAGAGGAGCTTCTCTGAGAAAGGGATGTAAAATGAGATTGCAGGACGAGAAGGTACCCTATTAGCCATATGAAAAGTGGGGATTAGATGTTTTCCGGGGAGAGAAAAGAACCCTATGCTATGTCCTGATGGTAAGAAAGAGATTGTTGAGTTCTAAGTGCTAAAGAGGAAGTGTAACTTGAATTTCATGAATAATGGATGAGTAGCCCAGGACCCAGGATGAGGTTGATGGGCTAGGCAAGGGCCATATATTGCAAGACATTTCTAGGCCCCTGTAACATGTATGTTTATTCATGGTTTGTTTTTTTCCTAGCTTTAGAGCTACAGATGTAGGTCAGTTTGCAGTGCTAGGTGGGATCCAAATTCTAAAGGGTTCCTTAAGGTTATGCTGAAGAATTTGGCCTTTGTCTTAGAGATAATGAGAAGTTATTAGTGGCTGTTAAGCAGTGGCATCGCATCACAGTGAGGTGTTTGGATTATTAATATTAACAATGTATGACAGTTTGACCAAAAGCAAGCAGATCAGGCCACCGAGCTGTGTTACAAACTTCTGTTTTGGTATGAAAAATAGAAAGGATGACTGTTTTGAGGCTTCTGATAGCACCCATAAATGTAATAACTTGGGGGCTAAAGGGCAACCAGAAGTGATTTGTGGTGGGGAGAACATCCTAAATGGAGCTACCAGAATGAATTGGTTAATTTTTGGAACAAGGTAATTTAAGAAGCTGAGATAGAGTGACTGAAAGGCCAGTAGGTAGCTGGATTATGTATGGCACAGAGATGCAGGGGGAGATGGGGCTAGAGATTTGGGAGTTGACCTCTCAGTGTAGGGGGGGAAGAGGGGGCATGCCTTAAAGTCATCTGCGTGGACTCTTACCGGAGACCTGCCGAATGAGCAGGTCTCCGTGTTTTTGAAGTCTGCGGGGTATTCTGATGAGACGTTTGGGGTCAAATCCACCCTGTTCGTGTGAATAGTAAAGGGAGGGAATGAAACCTGTGAAGGAGAGAAGGTCGAGGAGGGGGATCTAGGCATGGAGCAGATCTTGAGCATCAGCCGTGTGCAGGTCTCTGTTAGTAGCTGGAGCTGCTAGGAGGAAGCAGCCAGATAGGGATGATGCTTGTCTCCTAGGGGAGGTAGACTTAATTTAAGAGAGACACGAAAAGGGGCACCTGGCTGGCTGGCAGTAGAGCATGCGACTCTTGATCTCCAGGTCATGAGTTCAGGCCCCACCCTGGGTGTGGAGCCTACGTAAAATGTAAAATAAAGCAGACCTGAAGAGATGAACAAGGAGACGAGGGAAAGTATCTCACTACATTCGGAAGGGATTTCAGTAGGAGAGAGATGGGTGAAGTTAAGCCAGTGAGTGAGGAATTGAGCGTCCGTTTTCTCGCCACCGCCAGTACAAATGCTCTTCCTTAGGGTCCTGAATGGCAGAAGGTTATGAACCGTTGGGTCACACGGTTTGGAGTCCGTCATTTTCATACGGTTCCTGGTAATAAACTGGAGTTCCAGTACCTTTTAGGATTGGTCCTCCTCCGTATTTTTGCACAGATGTCACCTTCACACTGAGGTGACCTAATTACCCTACTTGAAATTGTGGGGCACCCCCCCCGACACTTGTGGGGTTTTCTTCCTGATAGCACTTGGCACCATCTGACACACTGTGTAGTTTCAGCTTATTAATTGTATATTTGTTTATTGTCTGCCTCCAGCTAGACCATGAATGAGCTCTATGAGAGAAGGGGCCATGCAATATTTTGCTCACTGGTACAGCTCCAGCTCAAAATGGTCTGATTTTATTTAGGTGGATATTTTTGAGATGATTGAATGGACGAAAGTAAAATTACATAAGGAGGAGAGTGGAGATAGGGAAGGCTTTTTCCACATTGGGTATTTGACAGAAGTTACCACTAGTTGAGGTGAATGGGAAAAGAAGGGGAAACTGAGCACCATCCTAACAAATGAAAATAAATAAAGGACTTAGAGGGGCTAAGCTTTGGCAGTGAAGAGGGACACCCTCTAAGACTAGAAACGACACTTAGTGCTGATAGGAATTGCCAGCTAATGGCCATTGCCTTAGATCTTTTTTCATATTCTAGGTGGAATGCAAGCTTTAGGGCTTCACCTGACAGATCCAAGTCAGCGTCTCGTTCAGAACTGTCTTTGGACTCTTAGGAATCTATCAGATGCTGCGACTAAACAGGTAAATTTTGAATATGCCAGTGCCTTGGTGATAGAATTAAGATGAATATGTACTGAGCATTTGTTTTTATGTCCATAGGAAGGGATGGAAGGTCTTCTTGGGACCCTTGTTCAGCTTCTGGGCTCAGATGATATAAATGTGGTCACCTGTGCAGCTGGAATTCTTTCTAATCTCACTTGCAATAATTATAAGAATAAGATGATGGTCTGCCAAGTGGGTGGTATAGAGGCACTTGTGCGTACTGTCCTTCGTGCTGGTGACAGGGAGGACATCACCGAGCCTGCCATCTGTGCTCTTCGTCATCTGACCAGTCGACACCAGGAAGCAGAGATGGCCCAGAATGCTGTTCGTCTTCACTATGGACTACCGGTTGTGGTTAAACTCCTGCACCCACCATCCCATTGGCCTCTGATAAAGGTAAACTGTCTGTCACAAAAGTAGGTTGCAGAATTGGACATGAACCACCTCTAGCTATTGGATGGTTGTCTAGGCATGAGGGATTAACAAGTACGAATCCTATTCCTTAGTAAATAGGAAGTGTGGCCGGGGTGGGCTTCCGAAGTGTTTGTGAAGTCTGTGCTACTTTCAGGTGATCCCAATAGATTTAGTGTGGTGGGAATTTTAGGCCAAGAAAATGATTTTGTTGAGTTACACGACCGCTCTTTATTCTTCTTATCTACAGGCCACCGTTGGATTGATTCGAAACCTTGCCCTTTGTCCAGCAAATCACGCACCTCTCCGTGAACAGGGTGCCATTCCAAGACTAGTTCAGTTGCTGGTTCGTGCCCATCAAGATACCCAGCGCCGCACATCTATGGGCGGAACGCAGCAGCAGTTTGTGGTAGGTAAATCTTAGCGGTGACACCCGGCTATTTAAAAGGAATGCATAAATTCATGGGATCCTGAACTTCTTTGGTCATTGGTTCCCTTGATCTTCTAGCCTGAGGGGCTGTTTGCTAAGGATTTAAAAAAACTGTGACCTGTCCCTGGCTGCAGAGAAGATCAGGAATAATGTGGCCCCTAGTGCTGTTGTCTTTGACCTCTCCTTGCATCGTCAGTCGTACAAAGAGAGCAGGGTGTGGTGTACTGCTGTGGGGTTAGGTGCTTCTTGCAGTGTTTTCATTTAATGCATACAAAGGGTCACCTTCTTAGGAAGTAGCAGAACCATAGTTTGAATCCAAGTCCATCTGATTTCAGAGCCTCTTATTCCCCATTGTAACATGAGTTTTGCCTGTAAATATTTAACATACCTTTTACCGTCTCTTCCAGGGATGGTTCAAACTGTTTTCACAGACCTAAGAATACTAAGAAATTTCAAGAAGTAGTAGTAGCATTTACCCATAAGCTCAACCTAAAGCTTTCCATGTCAGGTTTGCAGTCTTTAAAAACTAGCTTTGTTACAAGTATCTGAAGACACTGTAGAATTTATTCCTCAGAATTTATTTTAAGATTCAAGCCTTCAAAGAGCTTTCTCTTATTTAATTAGGTCACTTTAGAAAACAAGAGCCTACCAGCACAGATTTTGGGAATCTCTTATTGGTAGTTGTTATGTGTATGCACTCATTACTGGGCTTCGGCTTTCTCCATTCATTACTTTTGGTATTGGCCTGTCTCCATGAGGTGGCTTAAAAGAATGCAAAAGGTACCTTTTATTTTACATCTTTTCTCTAGGAAGAAAGGAGTATCTTGTGTTTTTATAAAAATCAAGTTGTTTATGAAAGCCGAATTCTAACCTTTTTTAAAACTCAGAAACAGGGAAACAGTACTTAACATTTTGCAAAGGCTAACTTCCTTCTTCTT